TAGGGTTTTGATTAGTCTAAAATAATTAGTTTAATAAATATCTCTCTTAAGTCTTCTATCCTTGTGCATTGAGACATTTTTCAATCAAACATTTTCTGCCCCGATGCGTTGAGACTTTTCAAAAATCTAAAAACAACACAAACAAGTATTTTCTAGACAAAATACGGTACTCTGGTCCTTCATATTACTAAGGGTATGTAGGCACAGAGATGTGACACTCTGACGAGTATAATAATAAAAACCTTTTTTTTTGTTCACCTTTGTAATTAAATCTTTTTATCTTACAAATAATAATATATCTTTCTTGAAAATAAATAAATAAGTAATTAAGTAATATAAATACATAGGCAAGCATCCATAGAAAACATAGTTAACTCTAGAATTATATAAGGTTCTCGTGAGTACAACAGAGGTGAGAGGTGCCTAACACCTTCCTGTTGCTTATTGACTCCCGAATTCTAAGTCTCACCCCTAATATTTAGATTTTATCATTATTTTCATGTTCCTTAGAAACGAATAAAGGATGATAGCGACTTTGTAACTTTCCAGCCGCGACAACACCTATGATTAATAAAGACGGTGGTAATAACTTTTTCATTTATGTGATGATGGTGACAAATTTTAAGACATCCCAATCTTTACCAAGTATGAGACTCAAGACTCCATTGAAGTGCTTATATGATCAATGTATCTCAAAAAAGATCTTGAAAGTCTCAGAGTTGTGAAAGAGAGTCAGTGTGAAAACTCACTTAGTCGTGCCTGTATGAGTGACTAGAGTATTGTAAAAGTAGAACAGTGACTCCTAATATATTAAGGCAACACACACACACACACACTTAAATAGTTTTTGAACCACTTTCTTAACGAACAAAACACCTAAAAATATTTCAAGCCTTAGCCAGTTGATTAGAAAATTGTCAACTTCATTAAAAGCATTTTTTAGCTATCTAATCGATTGGGACATATATCCAATCGATTGGAAGAAACAAAATTGATTATATAATTTATTGTAAACGCGACTTAAATATGGGTAACGACTATTTATCCAAACTTTCCAAAATGAGCAAAAATAATCGACTATTTGAAGCACATAAATGATTATGATTAGGAATCGATTAGTTTCCTTTCTTGTGCAAATTTTCTCCTATATAAAGAATGTGTCTCTCCTCTTCACTTCACACTTGAATTTTGAATCTCTCTATTTATTTAAAATTTATCTTTCTTCTCTCTCTCTCTCTAAAATACTTTCTTTTTACCAAAGTTGTCTTATGTCATTATTAATACTATCAAGTGTGTGATATTCATGGAAAATCAAATTTGGTTCTTGAGATCAATTAGTCTTAAAAAATTTATTTGGTTATAGAACTTAGCCTAAAAATATTTTATTTGGTTATTAAGATTAGCTTGGAAAATATCTAACCGGTTGGTTAGCACATCCTGAGTAAAATATTTTTTTGATTGGGGATAAGCGATTGTAAAATCTCTAGATCTACTTGTATCAAATATTTGTAGGCATGACTTGTAAAAGTTCAAGTTTATAGTCAAAATTTTAAGAAGATCTCTTGGGGACAGGAGTAGTCCAGCATTTGAACCAACCTGAATAAACCAGTGGTGTCATCTCTCTAAACTCATATGTTCTACTTTATGATGTTTACTTTATTTTTTATTTTGCGTTGTTTGTTTTAATCCGATCTTAAATGATATTAACATAATTCGTCTTTTAAGTAACAAAACCTTAAATTTAATCGTGAATTTTAAATACCACAATTCAAACTCCATCCTTGTTGTGTTTGAAGTCACTTGTTCAACTCTACACACTTTCAAAGCACGAGTAACATTGTTCTCTTTTTTACTTTCCAAAAATGCAAACCCAGCTAAAAAAGTCATCTCTGTAAAAGTAACACTAACAATTTTCAGAAGTGAAAGTTTGTACTTATGAATATTATATGTTGAGTCAATTATCAACATATTGAAAAATATGGTGAACAACTTAATGAAATCAAGATGAATCTAAAATATATCTCGAATGCTTTCTCTATCTTCAGATATTCTCTACCTCGATACAAATGATCATCATCCAAAACTTTCAATAGTTGTTGAATTGTAAATCTTAGACTTCTTATCTTCTTGTTTTCGGGTACAAACATTTTATACTTGCTTAATATTTGAGATATTTTAAGGTCTTTTTTGTTTCAAATATGCGAGTATGTTTTTGGGCTCCACCATGTTCAATGTCATGTTAGAAACAATACCTTTTCTTTAGAATTAAGGTGGCGTGCAATCGGATGCAATGGAATGATTGCCTCACTTGTAACACAAGTCATAATTATGTAAACCACAAACCACATTAAATGTCCATGTATGATGTATCACTTTTCCATTTGCAGCTTAAAAGGACACACATTTTCTCGTTTTAGTGCTATCACGTTTCAACTTTCATATAAATTTTTTATACTTGTCATTTCTTTCACATGTCATTGTCACAAATGTGTTGATCTTCTATCAAAACTAAAATTCGATCTTCTGATTACAATGTCGAACTCGAATTTGACAACTTCCACGTAGATCCATTACAGCATATGGTCACGAATTGCAAACTCCTATTTAGTCATAAATTGTTATCCAACATCGACATGAACAACATATGGTTACCTTGACATCACCCAATTTGATATCCATAAACATAGTAGCTTCGGAAATTGTGTTTATGCAATTAGTCATAACAAATTTAAATAAAATTCAAAATGAAAACAATCCGAATTTTATCCCCCAAAATAATATGCAACATAATCCGAATTTTAAAATTCTAACACAATTCCCACTGTTTGAAAAATCAAATTTTAACTTCATATTTTGCTCAAAGTATAAACTTAATTGAGAATAGAAGAAGATTTTTGTAAGCTTTTGAAAGTACAGTAGTATGATCATGAATGAAAAGTATATACAAATAGTGTTAAATTCAATTTCCCACAATATTTGGACTATATCCAGAGATTGAACTCCAAACTATTTTTATGCAAATAGGAATGACTCACTAGAAACAATGCTGTGTAATAGGTACGTCCATATTTCAAAAATTCAGACAAACGAAAAGGATTTGAATTTTCTAAGAGTGGTGGTCCAAAGAGCAATAACCAAATTGAGCAGTTACTTAGGATGGACAATGTTAAAAAGTTATCAACAATGAATAAACTAAATAAATTATAATAAATAAAATATAAACTATGAATATACTAATAAATTATAATAATAAAATATAATTTGAATAAAAGAGAGAAATCGGTATCCTATGTAGAGAGAAATTGGCATCCCAAGTAGTTGATAAGCTTGTTTACAACAATGAATAATATGTATATGTTAAACCGTGAAAGAACAAGATATTACACTATAATGGCCGTTAATCAGAAGATTCGATGATAAAAGACGTACAGAGAGTTAAGAGAAATAAGAACACTTCGAGAACCATAATGTATGGTCAGACAAAACTCAATGGATAATTAAATTGTGTTAAATATCAGAAAACATGATGAAAACAAAGTTGTGATAACATCAAATGGTGTAATTTGATTCTATATTGGAAAAAATTAATTTAAATTTTTTAATTCTGTAAAATTGATTCAGATTAAAAGTTAATTGAAATTAAAGTTATTTTTGATTGGATAAATTCATGTAAAAATGTGTTAAAACATTAAATTTCGGTGTAAAAATCACATTTAGACTCAACTAAATATTCTAACTTCAAATAGAAACAATTACATAAAACTTAATCAATTCTAATCAAGAACATGTCAAAATCAATTCTAAGTGCTCCAAAATTGAATCCAAGATAACCGAAATGTGGTTGATTCCGCAACTATACACTAAATATACTTGCATTATAACCGATGTTATCACCCATTGGGCTTTAAAATTGTGCACTAGAGATAAAACAAGGTAAATCCACTTCAAAGGACAATAAATAGGTTACGACCAGAAGGAAAACCACTATAACTGGCCATTGTTTTCATCATCCCCTACAAACCACTAACATACTCCTATAATAACCTTAAAATAAATAGCAAATGCATTTTACACTGTTTATTCATCCTCCTCATCGTCATCGTCATCTTCAGAGTCGTCGTCGTCGTCCTTTCCCTACCAATAAGGAAATTTCGCAACGGTCATTTCAAAATCACAACACCATTTCCAAAAGTAGTTACGCATATACTATAAATACAAAGCATAAATAAACATTATTTGAGAAAACTTCTCAAACTATTCTAACAATTTGAGGAAAAAGCTAAGTGAAATTATTGGTTCTTAGTAAGCAAGCAACTTACAAGTTTTCTTTGTCAACACATACTCATTACTCATTAGTAAGCAACTTAAAGCTTTTACAGAGAGGAACAAATTAAAGGAATAATAGTTACCGCATCACCAGCTTCATCATCATCCTCTTCCGCTTCGTCAGGGTCCTCCTGTTCCGTTTTGATCAACCACCAATATGGTCAGTCATAAGGATAGAGACAGTGGTAGATAGACTAGAGTAAAATGAATGGTGTGAAAGATAGAAGAATAACTATCTGCATTAAATCAAAAGGTAACTTACGCTGTTGAAATAATTAAGTGGATTTGGCCATAAATCATCCTTGATTAATTCTGCAACCTACAATTTGGAGTGAAAAATTAGTGACAGAAAACAAATCAAGGCACACCAATGATTGTTGTAATAGACCGTTGGAAAATATGTGATACAAATGCAAAATCAAAACAAAATTAGTGTATACCTCATCATGAATGAGGTCATCCAAATCTTCTTTCTCTTCGGTGTCACTAAACCAGGTAAAGAAACTGCATTCATCAGCACATTATATTAGTTTCTAGATCCACTTGGCATTATCAAGGAGCTTTGACAATAATTTGGATAAACTAGGGGAGAAGTATGGTTCAAAAATCCAAATAGGTGTCACTAATCACATGTCTGTTCATCAAGCGCCAGTTGATAAGCTTGATTACAACCTTGTTTGTGTAATTAATGACAGTGAATATGTTAACCAGACAATGTTTGGATAGGACACAAATAAAGTTGAATACCAGGCTAAACTCCAGAAGCTCACCCAAGAGATGCAAGAACATCAAGTAAGAACCCATTTATCACAAAAAGTTGTTTTAGAAAAATCACTTTTAGAAGTTTTGATTTGTTTGCTATATATTTAAAAAATATGAGAAACTAAAGATAGAAAAAATAAAAACTGCTTCAAATGATAAGCTGATTTGAGTAGCTTCTTTTTATAATCATTCTTGATATCTGATATTTGTAGGAAAAAACAATAATTTTCATTATGGTAAACAATCAAAAAATAACTTCTTTTTAAAAATATCTTAACTAATATCTAAATTATTGAATATCAAGATCACATGTCTTATAAAGAAACAGCCCCTAAGACTGTTTGGATATTATGAAATGAACAGGGTGAAATAGAAAGGAGCGGAGCAAAATGGATCAGACTAAAGATTCCATTACATTGTTTGGGTATTTTAGTATAGAACACGGAAAATTCTTCATTCCGCCCAAATCAGAGGGGAAGAAATATGATGGTACGTGATGGAATGGAATCCATACCATTCCATTTCACTCCGCTCGATCCAAATTTAATTGATCCAAACAATGGAACACCACTCCATTCCATCTCATTACATCAATCCAAACAAAGCAGAAAGGTGATATTTATTATTGTTTAACTATCTATTTGAACATTGCATCTGCAAAAATAGCATTCTTTGGTTTTCAATGTCTTCTGCAAAAACATTTAGCATATTTGGACACCAACCTGACATCAGAAGCAGCTCGCTTGTTCCCTTTCTTTTCTTGACTAACTCCATTAGGAATGTCCTTCGTGTTTTAAGATTACATTATAAGATATAAAAACAACAAAAAAAGGAAAAAGTGGATTGATAAAGAACAAAACTTAAACACAAAGCCTTACCTTGTCCTCTTTCCATTTAATGGGAGTAGCAGTAACCTTGGTTGTTCCTTCTTCAAGGAAGGTAAAAGTCTTTACAAGTTTTGTATCCTCAAAATAGGGATTATGATTAAAGTTCTGCACAGGAAATATTTTCAGAAGTTATTATTATTCATTTAATATAAGTTCAAGAAAAATATAAATTTCCAGAACATAAATGTGATTTGCAAAACATTTCTATGAACTATGAACCCAATTGAAAGAGAAGAAGCAACTCACAAAGGTGATTGAATAGCCCGACTTGACATCTTTATGATCTTCAACCTCAAGAGAACTCAAATGCTTAAATATCTAAAAAAAAGAGTCATTAGCTACACAAGGATAACAAGTAAAGTGACTGAGCACACTTGGTTCAAGTTGTATCACTAAAATGACCCCGATGCTTCATAAAGATCAATGAACTAGGATTCATCCTAATGATTCAGGGTTCAAGCTAAAATTAATGTCCAATACACTCGGCAGAATCAATTGGATTTACTTCGCATCAAATCAAGATTCGACTGGTATGCATCGTACAACCAATAGTGATAACCATTTTCAACACACTCCACAGGAGTACTTCAGAACAATATATGAAGTAATGACAAATAAATGGAATGCAAAAGAGAAACTATGAACTTGTGACACTAATTAACCGCACAACTGCACAAGAAATTATCATGTAAAGCTCTGGTCAAATGTAAACTGATTTGCACTTGAGCAGGTATTTTGAAAGTGCTCACAGAAGAGTTAAATTTGAAAGAAAATAATGTCAGAAAATTTGACAAATCCAAAATTGGCCAAATTTTAAATAAATAAAATTCTTAATCCACCGCAAATTCCAATGCATAAAACATATCTTGTAAATGAGTTTTAAATGCGGTTCAAGTAATATCAAAGAAACACAAGCAAAAATGCTTCATAAGGCAAACTCAATTGCATGCAACTAAAGAAACCAAACCTTCTGATCTTCCTCATTCAAAAGATCACCAAGAACAGGATGGCTCAAAAACTGCACAAAGATAAAAAAAAAAAAAACTAAACAACGCATTCCCAACAACAATTTCATAATTCCACAACAGATCAAAATCAAAAACAAAAGCATAAGCATCAGATAACAACTTACAGCGGTTAACCAGAAATCAGGAATAGACTTGATAAGATCATTGCGCTGATCATACAGGGGCTTCCTTATCTCGTTGTACTTCTGCTCGATTTCCAGAACTTTATCACTAGCCTCCTCATTGATCTAAAACCATAACAATCAGAACTAAATTAAAGTAATTAAACACTCAAAATACATTAAAAAAACATTTTTTTATGGAAATTAGGGTTCATGCTCGTTGAGGTAATTACATAACATACATTAAAAAACGTTTCATCTTCAACGCCGGAACTTTAATCGACTAAATTTGATAAAATTTTGTAAGCATATTATAACAAGAAACATAATTTGGATACCTTTTCGAGCTCATCTTGCATTTCCTGCAACTTTTCAATGGAGAGGACAAGTTCTCCGTCGATTTCCTCGGCGTTCTCGCTCTTTTCAGAAACCTTCAGTTTCTTGCTCTTGTCGGCCACCATCGTTGTTGTCGTTGTTCGGAATGAGAGACAGAGGGTCTGTTGTGTGCGAACCCTAGGAGACAAACCTCGTTCTGGTCGAGTGTGTCTAAAGTGAAGGTGTTAGGGTTTTGGGGGTTTATAGCGGTGAAGGAGTGTAACATAAAGAAAGGAAAGTGCGGGTGCACGGAACAAACTAACTATAGTACGATGTCTTTTTACTCTGGTTAGATTCATCATTATATATTTATTAATAAAATTGTACTAGTATTAATAAACAAATAAATAAATATTATTATCATTTATTAGGGAAGTCGTTTTTATTTAAAATATAAAAGTGAAGATATTAAATAAATAATTATTCAAATAATATTAATAACAAGAGCCCCGTGCGAGTAACAGACCCGTGGGAAAGTCAACAAAATATTAGAGAAAAAATATTAAAATGTAATTATCATATAAATATTACTGTAATTTATTAATTTGTAGTTGTTGTTAAATGTAAAGAAATATATATATGAAATTTGTGATCGAGATTGGTTTAATTGCAAAACTCAAAAATAGATTTACTAGTATTAATATCACATACGTTTATGGCATTTTAAAAGCAAAAATTAAAATAGTATTGTTGTGTAATATTTGAATTATACAATCAAGTAAATATTCGTTAATATTTGATATAATATTTTTAATTGCTATTAAAACAAAATTATATTGATTAAAAAATAAAAATTTAATTGATTATATATATATATATATATATATATATATATATATATATATATATAAAGTTAAGGGTCATGATTAAACAACTATATGCATTAATTGGTATAGGCTGCAACAATAAATAAATCAGGTAAACAAATTTAAGTAGTTCAAACACAACTTTAACTTAGATTAAAAAACATAAAACCCAAACACAACTTAGTAAAAATAAAATAACATATTCCATAATAAAACAACTAAAAGGATAAAATTAAACTTTAGTAATAAGAATTAGAAAGACAGATGAAATTAGCAACATTTCCTTCAGTTATTGTTCCTTCAGAGACGTCTCGACAACTTGATACAACATTTGAGAATCAGATTGGTAGTGACATAACAACGTATCTCTCACCTTAAAGTTTTTTTCCTTAGTGTATTCATACCACCCATAGCCGAGGTGCATCTCCACTCTGTCTCTCTTTAATTTAATGATCTCATAGTCATAATAATTCACAATGTTAAGATTCATCATGGTACACTCAGTTTGGTCTGGATGGAGACCCTTCCTTATAACCTCAACTGGGAAATGTTGCATAGTGAGTTTTTGTAAGTTAACATTAGCATTGGGTTCTGAGTTCGTATAAAAAAATATTTTTTGTTGTTAGAATTTGTGTAACATGTTATCAAAACTTGATTTCCGCCCTTCAGTGATCTGGTGATCTTAATCGTCCAAAATAGATCAAGTGTCAACCCTTCTACGTGTTGATTCACCTGCTCAGTTGGACCATGTTCATGGGTCATATTGATCTCAGGCAAAAATTCATCCACTTGACCTGCTACGTCTTAATTCACGTGTTCATCAAGACCATTCAACTGGGTCATTTTGATCTCAGGGAATATTTCATCCACTTGAACATCATTGGGAGGTTGGTTCACTTCTTGGACAGTTTTTCCAATGATTTCATAAATATCATTCGTGTCAAGAGATAAAAATCTATAAATTCATAGATGCAAAGGAACAATATTATATAGTAATTAAGGCAATTGCATGCAACCTAATACAAATACATAAAATACACTGACTAAACTTTAAAGGTATGTTACACATTAGAAGTAGAAGAATACATAGTGAGATTGCTTCAAATTCCACGCAGGACACACAGTAGACCTTTTAAGACACTTGGTATATTAGATTGCAATGAATGGATTTGATATTATTGCAAAGTTTATAAATAAGCAAATGGCGGCTTTGATTTTTCTTTAGAAAATGGATTTGTTATAATGGTTGATTTGACATTGTCGTGGAAATATAAGTGTATTTTAAGCACATCATTATTTCATGCTTAAAAAAAATGTTTCATCCCTTTTTTTTCTTTTTTTTTTTTGGTAAAGATGAGAGCCAAGGGCCTAAAAGAAAAAGCACTACAAAAACATCTCCCTAGAGGTGGAACCCCCTAACTTATCCTCAACAAGCAAATGCTCAATAAAATTAGGAGCAGGGGAGAAACAAGTCAAATCTGAACTCAGCCTACATCCAGCTTTAGCCAAAGCATCAGCACGCTGATTAGCCTCTCTAAATGTATGCGAAATAAAAGCCTCGTCAAATCTACTTAAGAGGCTTTCGATCTTCCTGAGCATCTCAAGCCCATCATTTTTACTATATCTACCTTAGTTCAATTCTATAGTAATCTCAGAGGAATCTGTGTTAACTTTGACTCTTCTGAAGCCAAACTCTAAGGTAAACACCAACCCTTCAAGAATGCCATAAAGCTTTGTCATATAACTGCTATAAATCCCCCACGTTCTTGGAGAAACCTCCCAACCAACAACCTTCCTCATCTCTAACCAGACCTCCACAACTTGTTGAAACACCTTTAATTTAATTTGCATGTTGGAATTCATGTTTCAAAATAAAACGTGTCATCCTTTTAATTTGCATGTTGGAATAATCATCTGATTTTTTAATTTAATTTAATTGTGTTAAACTTTCACACTTCCTATTCCACAATTTATACATGCAGTAATTGATCAGTGCATCTTTATGCACATTCTCCTATATTTTTACTTAGGCATTTATTTACTTTATTTTGATTATTCTTATGTTTTATTATGTTTTTATATTTTATTTTATTTTTGGTTTAATTTGATTTTCGCACTTTATTTTTCAGCTTTAACAGTCTGCGCGGAAACAATCATAACTGGAGTTCCGAGAATCCGTTTGAGGCGTTCTGAAAATCGTCGAAAAGCTAAGAGAGAGAGCTACGATTTTCGTGTTGGAGTCAAAGTCAGATTCGGAGCACATTTTCCCAGAATATTCGTTGAAGTTACATAATTAGGAATTTGTTTTAGTTTTGGGTCATGTTTTGGGTTTGGGTTATATTTTCGACCCAGTTGGGTTTTGAACCGGATCCATTGTTTTTCTTTTTAGGGGAAACCTTGTTTTACTGTTAATTATATACTATTCACGGAAAAATTGGAGAGAGGGTTTTGAGAAGAACTCATGGAAAACTAATACCTCCGGGCAAATCCTGCTGTGTACGGTTTCAACACTTTGAGGTTATTATAATATCAATTTAAATCTGATTCCTTTCAATCCTTTTCTATGAAGTCATTTGCTTAATTTGATTGAAATTGTTTTCTTAATTCAATTGTTGTTCATAGGATAGAATTGATTAAATTCGATTGTATGCATGTTCCTAAATATAATTGTGTGTTATCGTTTGCTTAATTCGTTAATTTGTCATATTCTTAACCGTTTGCTTAATTCGGTAAACAGGAACATAATTCATTTGATGTTGGTAAGCGCTTGTCTGATTAATATCATAATCGAATAGGATTGGAGCCATTTAGGGATTGATGTTATAATAGTCGATGATAAGTCGGAACCCGAATCAGTAGGATTAACCGTTTTAGCTTATTTTAATAATCACTTTTTTATAGTCACTTATTTTAAGTATTTTTTTCTCTTAATCAAAATTCAAACCCCCATAAACTGTTACTTTATTGGTCAATCACTACAAGAATCCTTGAGAACGATATTCTGAGTTAATGTCGTTGTACTATAATTTTTACAAAAAGACTCGTTTTTGATCCGCGCGCGACAGCTGATCAGTAATCAATAAAAGAAATGAAATGTTTGCATTGGGCCACTTAAAATAACTCAGTCCAAGTTGTAAATGCAAAATTAACTTTGTTTCTTCTTTCTCTTTCTTGAAGTTTTTGTATTTCGCAAAAGGTCGAAAGAAATTGAAGAATGTAAGGTCGGTGAAAACCTTGCTACAATTATATTTCAGATGATACTCTGTCAAGAATGAGATAATAACTTATGTTTTGTTTAAGATTTATCATCTCTAACCATACCTTCACAGTCTACTGAAACACCTTCAATTTAATTTGCATGTTGGAATTCATGTTTCAAAATAAAATATGCCATCCCTTTAAATTGCATCTTGAAGGCAGATAATCCTTTAGAGGCTCTTCAAACAGAGTCACAGTCAGAAGCTGTAGCACAAATGTTCTTCAAAACCGTTGTTTAAGAGCTTTCTAGAACTTGATAGCATCTTGTAAAGCACTTGTATCTCTTCAGAATCAGAGTGTGTTGATTCTAGAGTCTGATGACGTCACATGTTAAAGCCTTAGAGTTAGAACATGTTTCAAAAAATCTACACACTAGATAAAATCATTAGTGTACAAAGTTGTTCTCTAAGAAATAATATATTGTTATCATCAAAACTAAAGGGCAGATGCAGAATCAAATCTTGGTCTAACAATCTCCGTCTTATTGATGACGACAAACAGTGTATTTTGATGAATAATTTTTACTTGGTTTAATCGCATAAAAACATAAGAGTGAGGTTTGTAAGTAAGCTCCCATTGAAATTTATATTGTTAAAAAATATTTTTCAACTTAGAATTTCAGAGTTAGGTTTGCAAACTCTGTTAGATGATAGGCTTCGATCTAGATGGGGGTGAATAGATCACAAATTTTACAACCAAAAACTTTTGGCAAAAATCTGTTTTCAAAATAAGGTGTAGCGGAAAAACGACCCGAATCGAATTGTCTAACTGAACCTATTATCGAAAAGAAATATATGTATCGCAAACTAAACGGAGTGATAACAAACATAAATGTTCAACAATAATCAAGCTACGAATCAATTAAATGGAATGACAATCATAACTCGTATGTCCAATGAACCAAAACACAAACAAAATACACACAAACAATTTATCGAATATTTGATGTGCGATGATAACAATTGGAAATATAGTTTATTTTGTTGATGTTAAAACCTATCACAATCAAAGTGATTATGATT